GCAATGGACGGCATCTTGTGAACAACATCCAGGGCATTCTCTAGGAGGGTCTTCTGTCCGTCGTTAGAGGAGATAGCTGCCTCGACCTCGATTTTGACCGTCTCCCAGACATCATTGAATGATGCCTTAGAGGCAGCAAGCTTGCCGCGATAGTGGTCCAAAGACGGGTTCACGGAGAACTCATTGTACGAAGAACCGTAGCGGAAATGCAGACCAGCCGAAATGGAAAAATCGGCCTTGAGGGTAACAGAAAGCTGGTTCAGCATGCCCTCGCGGGCGGGGGAAGCGTGAGTGACGAAGACACGGGTCTCGGAGGGGTCGTAGACCCGATTAGCGGTGTCAATGAGTTCGCCCATCTGCAAGAGTGTTGTCCACATGGTACCTTGGCCGCCGGCAATAGTCGTTTTTCCCTCGCCGTTATCGAAAAGCTTATGCATTACAACGGCACCTCCCAAACCCAGCAAACGGAGCTTCACGCCACCGATATCGAGAAGGCGCGAGTTGGCCTCGTCGATAATGTGAAGTTTATCTACCTTGTACTCGCCCGAACGGAACTTCTCCAATACGCGCACATCTTCGCAGGCACCCCAAACTGTGTAAACCGGGACATCAAGGGTGATGCGTTTGTCCAGAAGCATGGAGAGCTCGGAGAGGGGCAGTTGCTCGGGCGGGAAGCGCTGTTTAATTGACTGCTGGGGAGATACCTGTGCGATGGACCGTTTCACATTCTCAGGGAGAAGGGGGGAATATTGTGCCACATGTTTCAATGTTCTGTTCGTGGATCCGGTATTAGCTGATGCGGCCCAGCAATTTTCGGCGTCTGGTGAGGGGAATGTGTTGGGCAGCAAATACCCGCGCCAAAAAGCGCGGAAAGAGTACTCACTTGTCTGCAATCCGCTCGAGGGAAGTGTCATCATAGAAACCAAAGTCACCAGTGTGAATGATATGGTCAGCGCGGGCCTGCTTCGCAAGCTCGTTAAGAGACTTCAAGTTGCCTGTTATATGAGTCCCATTAATACCGTGTCACTTTGCCAAGAGAAAAAAAAATTTGCCAGAGTAAAAATTTACCTCGCACGTCTGCAATACACAAGATTCGTGTCGGACCGCTCTGGATCACACGGCCATTGTTGGGTAGAAGCGGCGTGGCACCGGGGACAGGGCCCGCAGCCGCACCATTCGGAATAGGGTAGCCTTGAGCACCGAAGTTGGGGCGGGGCTTTTTATGAGAAGAAAGTGATTAGATTAGCCAAGCTCTCCAAGATCCGAAGACAAAGCATTCATCTTGCGCGATTAGAAGCTGGGGTACGCAAATGCGAGGTGAGGCAATGTTTGGGAGCCACCTACAGAAGCCATCGGGGTTTTAAAATAAAATTGAATTTGACGGGATGAAATGGAGAGTGTGGTGAAGATGAAGGAGGGGAGAAAGACGGGAAAGGAAGGAAAAGTATGAAGGTGGTGTCGAGTGGAAAAAGATGTTGAAGATTCACTTTCTCATCGATGAAGCAGGTTGACATGAAGATTAGGTAAGCCGCCCCTGGGCACCCCGTCTTGAATTGTATGCGATGATCCATTGCAGACAGTACAACATACATATTGGACTCTTGCTCAGTTGGAATCGCATTTTAATCATGGTATGCTGCAATCCTGCAGTTTCTAATTAATTGCTAGGCACTTTGACAACCCCCCTCTCCCCTAAATCTAAGCGCATCACCCATACCGCGAGTCGCGCAACGGTGCAGCAGTACCTGGACGATATTCAGTATGGCAGTTTGGGGGGTTTTCTGGGAATGTGAATACGTGCCCATAAAGACAGAAACCCGAGCATCTATGACCAATTGTTTACCGAAATAATGAAGTGGGCTGGCCATAAACACCTCGCTTCCCAGATGAGAGGTTGCATTTCATGTAACCTAACAGGAAATCTTGACAGTCGTATTTACATGCTACATCCTTAGCGGCGTCTGAAAAGAAATTTCTTTTTGATCAATCCAAATTCAATCACAGATTCTAGAGCTGAAGGGACCCTAGGCCCCTATTTTCTCGGTGTAATCGTGGCTCGCTATATGGAGGCAGAATGGGTCCATCTTCGCAAGACGATATTTGTAATGGAATCACTATGTCCATTGAAGGAGCAACGTGCACCTTCAGTCATATTTCCAAGGTGCAAACGTGGAAGATGTGACAAGAAAGGTCGGATTAATGTACTGGTGAGAACCCTTGACTGGCATGAGCAAAGTAGAAGAGAAGCAAACTATGAGAAAATCGGGTGAGAAGACAGTCCGAGAGATTGGCATCCTATCTGAAAATGTCTGTCTTTTTCTCCGGTGCATTCCAATGAAAGGTATTGTGGCAACTAAACGCTCTAAGGTAAGCCTTGAACAAGCACCCATAGACTGTTGCGGATGGTAGAAGCTCCTCCTGTAAAATGAAGACGAAATCAATGCTTGTCCAGTCAGTTTGACTCGTATGTGGAGACTCAGTGGCAGCGGTTCCGCTGAGGCTCACTTGAGCCTTAGCGTGGCCTGAGTCGTATAAACTGTCTTGCAAGCTGATAGTGGGAAGTCATTGCGCAGCCGGCCATCAAACCCGACTACGCTTGAATTGCCAACCAGGTACATCAAAGACAAATTTCAAAGTGACATTCCGAAGTCCTTTGAAGAATATTTCCCAGTGAAAAAGCTCTGTCGTCAATTGAAAGTCTGATCTGAAACCGATGGGTAGTCTTCTCGTTCAGCAGTATTGTCGATTCTTCCCCTAGAATCACTGACCTTGGTAAATAGCTGGAAGGGAAGTACCCAGGGACTGACATACAAAACTTATGTCCAACGAGCTAAATCAGACGTCCATCTCGGATCCGTTTGATATGTTGGTGATTGATGAGAGAGTTGAAGTTTAGAAATAGAAATCGTGAATAAATAGTACTCGGGAAATCCAGAGCACTTAGTAGTTAAACGGTTATTTGTACTTAGTTTTTTTTTTTTTTTTGGTAGAGACGCTTCTTCTTATAATTTGACATAGGAGCAGTGATCGGCCATCAGAGGCGAAATCGCTAGCTACAGTAGTATCAAGTACAGAGGATACTAGTGCAAGTTGATCTTCACAGCGCTCTATATTCAGGAGGCTGACATTGGTGAGGCCATCCGTGCATGTGTCGGAGGTTGAAGTGTGTGACCAAGCGCGAACATCTATACTGGATGTCACCATTAGCTGGATCAATGCCCAAGGGAAGTCAGAAGTGGAAGTGCATCACAAACCCCTTGCCGATCTTCCTGCAGATTGGCGGAAACCCCACAGTACTGTGTCAACTGTGGAGTAGAAATAAATTAGCCACATATCATAGCTCCAGACTGATGTCAGGCCCATTTATTTTTGCGTAGTGCTGTGTCTAAATGGCGTCAATCCTCAAACCGAGACTGGGTGTCCAACAGTAGAATATGGAGGAAATACTAGCTGCAGTCGCTATACTTCGTGTACATGAGGATATGAATAGTCGGTCATCGATGCGGACAAAGTAGCATGCGTCAAATGATTATTCACACGATTCAGGGGAGGACACAAGAGTTTCATCTCATTGGCACAACTCAAATTCGGAATGCAGTGTCAACCTTGGGCTCTTCGGATGGCCTAGGTGAAGCTGCTGCTTGGCATTATTTGCGGCCGGACATCTAGATCTCGCTAACCAAAGGCCTCTGTGGACCAGCCTACAAAGCTTCGACCAGTCAAATGTGGTTCAAAAGACATACCGACTGTCCAGGGTCCAGAGTGGGTTTTCGACTTGCTAAAATCCTCCAATCGAGGAGTGCAGAGTTGCTATACCACTAAAACCGCACACTTTCGACCCAGTCAGATTAAAGACTCACTGTCATGTGGGTGCTGCTATCCGTCCCTAAGGACTATTCCCCAGAACGTGTGTGTGCATTAGCAGACTTGAGACTGACATTGGCTCGAGTACTTGCCAGTGGAATCCAACCCTCCTAGATTGCCAAGATTGTTTGGACAATTTCCGAGTCTTCACGGGCATCTTCCACCGAGAGTGTACAGCATTCTCAAACAGTGGAGGTTCGTTGAAACACCAACATCTTTCGGTCGCGATCGCAATGGATGTAGAATGTACGCCACTACGGAGAAGTTGCTCACGGTTCTCGGGTGGGCACATTTCAACGCAAAGGCCGAGAACACGATGATCGACTGCAGGTCACAATCTAGTCACCTGTGAGTCACAAGTATTTAGGTTTTGGGGGGGGGGGGGGGGGGATGGAACTGACTTGACAGGGGGTTGCGTTCTTCGACATCCCCTCGACCAAAGGGCTGCGGAATCACCATTGCAATCCATCCATGCAAGGACCGGTTGAAATATGAACTCGCTCATTCTGACATTGCGCGCACAGTGGCAAGAGGTTGACGAGAACATGAAGAAAGAAGATACAGCACAATCAAAGAAAACAAAAAGGGGGTTTCAGCCGCTGCAGACCCATGAGAAGGGAATTTCTTCAGTGAAAACACCCGAAAGTGACCTTTTCAGAATGTCCTCCAGGGCTCCAGGACTGGTTGTATACCAAAGGGATGTGTGTCAAGGGGAAGACCTCTCAGGGGGACAATTGTCGTACGTGGTTGCACCCCACCCCTTTCTCCAGAGAAGTCATTTAAGTCACCGTTGCACCTTGTTTTCCTTGTTTTACGATCTATACCATTCTTATATTTCTCACTTTACTCAAAGAGCCTCTGAAACACACAAGTTCGCCGTGTCTCACCCCCGCAAATTCAACCTCGCGCTAGTGAAAAGCGGATCCGCCTGCATTGCCTCGAACAGTGGCAACAGAGTCGACACACGAGGCTTTTTGATCTTGCCTCCGATCGTCATTTTTTTTCCTTCCAACATGAATACAATTCTCGGGCTAGTCCTCGGGCTGGTCCCAGGAAGTCTGCTGAAATTCGAGTTCTCAAATTCCGATGGATCGAGACACTACTATATACCCATCATGCAAAGCTCATCTCTCCCCATGAGCGCAACCCAAGAGCACAAGAGCACATCAAAGCTACTTTCAAGCGAATTCCCACCTTCCTATAATGATGTTAGCGGCGCCGTTATCATAAACCAAGAGGGCAAACATCAATTTCTGTCACCAGAGGAAGAGGTAGAACGACAACATCGACTGCAGCAAGCAGTGCGCGAGAAGATGTTAGGGTTACCACGAACGACAAAGTTTGAATGGCACCAGGGAACATTGGAGATGTCGGGAATTACAGCAACATTGAACGAGGAACCACCATTACCGCTGTATACACCCTGAGAAGATGAGAAAGGAAATCATGTCAAGTGCAGTTTCAATTTGCAATGTTGACAGAGCCTTGGATTCCCTACGTGTGCATGAGCTGAGCCTGTACTAGTGGGCCGGGAATCAACTGCAGTATACTCTATAAAAGACTGCAGGAGGGGGATTTTAGTATGATTATGCACCAAAGGTTTGCCTTTTTTTAAATTATATGGCTGTATCCACTCTCTGTGCAAGATTACGCGTAGATGGATACGATTCTAGTTTCGGAACAGTCTCAAGCCACCTTCCTCCCGATCAGCATCATCCTCTTCGTCGCTGGCATCCTCATCGCCTTCACCGAGCAACCCGCTGGCCGTTTTACCGAGCAGAGAAGCAAAGAACTCATCTCGTGCGCGCGTAGACCAGGAACCACGGTCATCAGGAGCCATGAAGTTCTGAAGCTTTTCATGCACGTTGTACTTCATCTTGCGGCCCTTTGAAGCACGGGTATCAATGTCTCGTTTGACCTTATCGTTGCGCATACCGGTGATGGGGTGAATGGGCAGACGGGAGGGCAGCTGGTGCAAGTTGTCAAAGCCACTAGTCATGGCATCGGTCGAGGACATACGCTGCTCGACGAGATCGCGCAAAAGGGACTGGTAAAAAGCACCGTCATCGTAGAGAGGTTCTTTGTCAGATGTGCGCGAACGCTTGGAAGATCGTTCGCCAATCTCCGTGGCGACTTGCGCATCGAGAACGGCTGTGATGGTCTGTTGGCGACCGGAGGTAGAACCGAGTAGTTTACCTCTGGCATTGGGGAGAGACGCAGAAACACCACGAACTTTCGAGGACCACTTGTCGAGAATGGTGCGACGGTGCGAAATGGACTCAGACTCCAGTTCAGCCATGCGTTCCCATAGCGAGGCGGAGCTAGTAGTAGGCGAGACAGGGGAGGGTCGCTTGCGCTTTTTGCTGTCTTCTTTGGCGGTAGCATCCGCCAGGACAGTACGTAAATCCTCGAGAGTTGACCACAATGCGAGCGCAGCTGACTCTGCTGACTTGATTGCTTCCTCGTCAACAACTTCCTCCTCGTCGTCCATCACCTCTTTTCCATCTGCTTCATTCTTCGAGCCCAAGACAGCAGCAATACCATTGATAGATGTTAGTCCACTCTGAAGCTTCATCCGCGCGTTGAGGAGCGCATCAAAAGTCATACGTTGTTGCTTGACGGCCTTTCCCTTTGTAGCATCGGCCTTAGCTGCCGAGGAGATTGTCGCAGCAATAGTTTTCTGATCCGTTGCCATTAGTTTCCGAATCTCCTCGCGGTCACTGGACGGTCTGCTTGTTTTGCCATGTCGGACATCTTGGTGGGTCTTCTTGGAGCGCTTGTGCACTACCTCGTCGGCATCCTCACTTTCATCCTCGTCATCCTCTTCGCTCTCTTCATCATCATCATCATCTTCTTCATCCTCCTCGCCTCCCTCAGTGTCCTCATCAGAACTCTGCTGGGCCTGGGCATCGTCGCCGCTGGCAAGTTCTTCAGAGCCGGATGAAATGTCTGAGTCCTCGTCATCGTCATCGTCATCTTCATCACTTTCAGCACCTAGCGCTGCCCGGCTGACCCGGGCACCATCATATTGTTTCCCCAGGGGGAGGGGGTCATCTTTTCGGAGCTTTGCTTTCCTGTTTGATTATTAGCGAGTTGTTGATACTAAATCCACCCTATTTTTACACACCCAACAATCTGATAATGCTCCCTGCCTGTGGTCACTTCTTCTCTATCTTCACTTTCATCATCGCTTGATTGTTGGCCATTATCAATGTCTTCGGGATCGAAATCTAAAAGCGCGAAGTAAGCATTGAATGTCCAGTACCCAAGAGAATATGCTGATGCATCATTCTTACATACCCTTAGGAGTTGGATCTTCAAAATCAGCGAGCTGATCAGATAGCGAACGACCTGCGCGTGGTTTGCCCATGGTGTTTGGAATGGGGAGAGAAGAGAGGCAGGCGAGCAACTTTTTTTTGTGTTTTTCCGGATAACGGATTATTATTCCTATCTAGGTTTAGCGCCCGTGGGCGGTATAGGCTCACATGGGCGATGCAAAGCGTGGGAGCTTCAACTATGAAAGGCGGTCGGCCCTTTTAACTGGCAGTATCGTAGCGGATATCTTGCATTGGAACTACTTCTGCTGCTCACAAATTATTTGGTCTTCCATTTCTCTTTCTCACCTGCTTTGTTTGGCCTGCCAGTATGTTGGTTTCTCCATCTGGTACCATTGCCAGGGGCACAAGGCTTTTTTCCACCTGTCGAGCTCTTCAGCATGACAATCCTTTGGTCAGTGGTTGATCTACAGTTTGAAGCTCCAGTGATAACCTCTTGGCTCACCGATTGACTTCAAGAACCAGTCCAAATGCTAGATTGGCTAGCTTGACTTGCATTGACTAATTATGAACAGGGACTACCACGCTCTGGTACCCCGCCAACTTTCCGTTCGCGCCGAGGAATGCCCGAAAAGCGCAAGATTCGCGATGTCAAGAAAATTGTCGCAGTTTCTTCAGCAAAAGGAGGTGTGGGAAAGTCTACAATAGCAGGTATGTTGGTATTTTTTGTCACTGTCTGTGTCTCAAGCCGGGTCGCCACAGCGCAAGACCTGTGAGCCGGAACGAACAGTCGCTAAAGAGATCTAACCAGTTAATCTCGCGCTATCATTTGCGCGCCGTGGTATCAAGACTGGAATCCTTGACACCGATATCTTCGGCCCTTCAATCCCTACCCTCCTAAATCTCTCCGGCGAACCTCGCCTCGACGAAAGTGGGTCTCCTTTTCTAATCTCACTGCCATCGCAACCATAATCAAGATGCTAATGAACATTCCAGACAACTGCCTCGTCCCTCTAACAAACTATGGCCTCAAATCTATGTCAATGGGTTACCTCCTCCCCCAAGCACAAGCCGACAGCACAACAGGCGAACTACCCATGGACACCACGCCAATCTCATGGCGCGGACTGATGGTAACCAAAGCCATGCACCAACTCCTTCACTCAGTCTCATGGGGTCCACTAGACGTTCTAGTCCTCGACCTACCCCCCGGAACCGGCGACGTGCAACTCACAATCAATCAAGAAGTCATCATCGACGGGGCAGTGATCGTATCAACGCCGCAAGATATTGCACTCCGCGACGCCGTGCGCGGTATCGGGATGTTCCAGCGCATGGAAGTTCCCGTGCTCGGGATGGTGCGCAACATGGCCTATTTCGCGTGTCCACAGTGTGGGACTCAGACTCGCATATTCTCGCATGGTGATAGCCACCATCACGCGCACGGTGAGAACCACGGTGTCGTGGCTGAGTGTAAGCGGCTTGGAGTAGACTTCCTTGGTGACATCCCTCTTGATGCTCGGGTGTGCGAGGATGCTGATCGTGGGATGCCGACTGTTGTTGCAGAGGAGAGCGTTGAGCGCAGTGCGAGACGGGATGCTTTCCTTGGTGTTGCTGAGCAGGTGGCTCGGAAGATTGGTCTTAATTGGCATTAAGGCATCAAAACATCTTGCTCGGATGTAGTTGTAAACATTGTGTAATATTAAGTTAGACTTGCATCATCCGGTGGCTGGCTACTGGCTATTCATGTTCTTCGGCATTTGAGGTAGACTTTGTTCATTCTCGGAACTACTTCCATCTGCAAATAATGGTCGACTGCCGAGACCTCGCAGTTGGCTGCCAAAATTGGTTCTATCCAACACAATACTCAAAAGTAACAAAAGGAAATGGTCGCTGCATGGCGCTTCGTTGAAAGAGCCAAAAAAAAATCGAAGAAAGAAGGTGGAACGATTTGGAACGACAATCAAAAATGATAACATATAGTGGGATCTGTTCATCAATGAAAATTCTACAAGGCTTAGTCGGCGGTTTTGAAGCCTTCTCTTTCTGAGATTTCAGATCGGTGCGACATGGAGTCCTGACCAGCCGCAGAGAACACAGATGGAGTCTCTGTAGAGCGACAGCCATTCTCGCCAGCAGTTACTGGGGCAATGATACCCCGCGCGCCAATCACAGCTTGGGTGCTAGCGGTATCGGATGCCATGTTCATATAGGCAACTGAGTCCTTGTCGCCGCCAACAGTACTAGTAGTGTCCGACAGCATCTCGCTTCGGCTGGTGGCTGATCCTGTGGCAGATGCTGGTCGGTATTTGCTTTGAGCTAAGGAGAGATCGGATTTCATAGGTAGAGAGCCTGCTGCATGAACAAGGGCCCTTGTGCTGGCGTTCTCATCTGTGAATTTGTTGTTGTTTACCTCGGGCAAGATGAGGATTGGGCCAGCGCTTTTCTGCGAGAGAGTTCGAGAGACGGTCTCTAGATCTGTGGACGTGCGTTCAGTAGAAGAATCACCATTACTGAACTCTTCCTTTTTGTCCGGGCTTACTGCTGTGTAGCCATTAGATTGTGATTTGTTGTTGGTAAGGTATTGGTCTGAGGTTTTCTCGATTTGGGGATTCGTCGCCGGAGTGCTGGGCCATGCTCCAGCCTGCCCAGCATCAGTGCTGACACGGGTGGAACGTCTGCCTGATTCCTCGGCCCGCGTCTCCATTTCCATCCTGCGCTCATCATGCCTGCTTCCCCAGCCGCTCCACATCATCATGCCGTGATTTTTCTTGGCATGTCGTTTTGGTAGTACGCCAGGAGCAGCTCGCCGAGCGGCCAAGGAGCTCGGGGGGGGGCATTCGCCATCAAAGTCTTGGAAGCCATGCGCCAGCTCTTTCAGGCGTTGGCTCTGAACTCGAAGTTTCTCCTTAGCAAATCTGATATCCCATTCCTTCTTCGCGTCCAACCACATTCGGATGAGCAAGGGATTGATTGCCCCAATTTGAGCAGGTGGTATCTTTAGCACTGGATAGAAAGAGGGAGGATCTAGCGGGAACACATGCCCTCGTTTATCAATTCGTTGGCGTATCATGTATTGATGGAACGCTGGAAGAGGATCCCCGGCCTTGCCGACACAGGAAGCCCCAGGTGTGCCAGGCGGACTGTTCAACGCGGTTTCAGGCCCCGGGACATCTTCATCCTCCGAGCTATTTGACGAAGCGGCCGATAGAGCACTATCATCTACAGTCTCGACCTCGCCATTTTGTGCACGCGCCAACGCCCAAGAGCCAAACTGGGAAATGGCGCGGAACATATACTTGGCTGGTCGCGTAAAGCTCAGAGTGGGAGCAACATGGCATAAGTTGTCCCAGACCTGAAGCTGTACATAGGTTGGTTCATACTTGTTCAAAATCTCACGGGTGGGATCATATTCATCAAGATATACGTCACTGGGTGGATATGCTGTCGGATTAGCTGCTTTGTGGGCGATGTAGAATTGCTCGTCACGAAGCATCTCACCGCCGCCGGTCAATATTTGTAGAGGAGGCAGGCCACCCAGCGAGGGTTGGAGGACTGGTGAAACAAGAGGGTGGGACATGAGTTGGTTCGTCGTATACAACTGGATTTGGTCCTTCAGTTCCACTGTCTTCCCGTCCAAGACAACATGAATATTGTCGGGTTCGGCATGCAGACTAGCAGGATTCGGGGCTTGCTGCTGGCCCGGGTAGGCACGCTCGGCTGCGGGTGGGGTATTCTCATGGATAGCATAACCACGGATAGCAGTCTCTTCGGCAGTGCTGTTTGGTTGTGGAATGGCTTTTTTAACATTCTCAGCTGTCACTGTTGGTTGGCGCGAAAGGTTTTTCATTTCCAGGATATCATCGGCATTGGGAGGAGGCCAAGCAGGCGAGGGTTTATGGCGGAAGCCATAGGCCGGGATATAATCGCCCGGGTTATCCTCAATAATGCTTGGGAAAGAGTGTGTTAAATCAACCCAGGGTGAGATCAAGATGGCGCCTGCCGGCAAGGGAATGCCCTGGTCTCTCATGATGACCAGCATCGATAGAGCCAGGCCGCCACCCGCAGAGTCACCAGCAAGTATAATTTCTTTTGGTTCGTGGGACTTGAGCAGCCAGAGATAAGCCGCCATGCAGTCATGAAGGCCACATGGGAAAGGGAATTGCGGCGATAGTCGATACTCCGGCGCAAATACACGTCCTTTCAGTTTGCGCGCATGACGCTGCATCATATACCGGTGGGTGTCGACACTTCCAAAGAAATAGGCCCCACCGTGGACATATAGCATCACCCGGTTACAATGCCTGTCGGCCCCCTCCGTTTGATTGTAGTGGTTCCGCATCTCAATCCACTCTCCCTTCAGCTCTCCAGACGGCCCGCGCCATTGCCACCATTTCTCTCCTCCAACTCGTGTGACACCCTTAGGACCCAGCTGCTTTGTGACAGCGTCTGCAGCAGAGGACAAGAATTCGTCGGGGATTGTGATGGTCTCAGTTCTCACCCAATGTGGGCTCGGGACCCATTGGCGAGTGAACGCCTGAAGGTCTTCGACGGGGTGTTTAGATGCATAGAATAGAAATTGTCGAATAATTTGGATACCCTCATCGTAGGTAACATGAACGGTGGGTTTGTTATGGAGCAATTTGCGATGCAGGTACTATGGAGCATGCGCTATCAGCCAGACAATCCTGACCCTATCAGGGTATTCCTCTGCGACTTACATGACTGATGAGAGTTTGAAGAACAGTGGGAGTCAATGCCACACCTAGTGCGACTGTATTTAATGGCATAATGATTCTGTTCGTAAGGAAGAAAGTAGAAGTATGCTGGCTGTCGCAAAATCCAAGAAACCCAAAAGAACCAAAACCAATGATGAGAATTAAACGAAAGACAGAAGTGAAGGTCCGGTCGCGAATTGGGCCGACGTCATAAAAGGAGCGAAAAGCGATTGAAAGAAGGATATCCAATGAGTTGACTCGGTGAAAACAAAGAGACAGAAAAGGGACAGGGGGAGGATGATGTCATCGGAGAAATCTCGGGATCTGCGGTGCGAACATTCCAACCTCCGATCTCTTACCCCACATATCTAGGCCACCTCTTAACCTCCATCTTGTTACAAATTGCGTCTCCTCGGTCTTCCAATCCAACTAACAATCACAATATAAACCATTGCAATTATACCAGCAACAACGCTAGTTGCAATGACCGCCCCACGTGGTGCTTGCGCAAGCTTGAACCCAAGCCCAACATTGATGATACCCAAAATCATCATCAACCGTCCAAACCAGCGGTGCATATAAGCAAAAGGTCCTTTTCTGCCTGTTTTCCTGAAGAATGTGTGCTGCAGCATGCCCATAGCAGGCTGGAAAAGAACAAGGCATGGCACAATAATCATCCCCAGGATGGTATGGTAAGAATCGATTAATTCAATCTGCCGTGCCAGAGAAATACCTAGTCCAAAGCCTGCCATAACCACGGCCAAAGTGAGGAGCTGAAATGTTCCGTGAACGTTCACCGTCCATTTCGACGGGAAAATGTGAAGTCCGAGCGCGAAAAAGGGGAACATGACCACAAAAGCCAGAACCATGAGCACAGCATGTGCCGTCTTTTTCCTCTTGACTGTACTTCGGAAGGCGGCAAAGCCCGGATCTTCTTCGCTGGGGGAAATGGATGCTCGGGCCATTTGGGCGAAGGGATTCACTGAGTTGCCGCCCGTCGCTTTTTTAAGGTCGATGGTCGTGACGCCATGATCATCATGTTGGGTGATACCCTCAGATACACTGACCGAATTCAAGGCCTCTCCATATTTAACGGCCCAAATCCATGGACTTGAGGAGCTGGTCACGTTTTCTATTCCTCCATTCCATTTCAGGCAGGTATCACATCGGACACTGGCAGTGATGACCCCGTCGTACACACCACTGCCATGTAAGATTTTGATCTGGGCGTCCTTGTTGTACAATGGCTCAATTTCTCCGACACCCGAGCGCGGAGAAACGGTGACAGTGTTGCCAGACGTGTACACGATAAACATGTTAGCACCTGCCATTTGCATTCCTTGGCCCAAGGCAAACCACTGCACTTGGCGAGTGGAATTCATCTGGAAGTATATGGGACCGGAGCCCGACTTAGCAGTATTATCGGGAACATTGAAGCTATAGGTGATCTCATTGTGGCCTTGAGGATGAATGCTATGAACTTGAACTTGAGCCAGGGCAGGAATCGCCCAGAGCCAAGCAAAATTGTGGCGAATCATTGAAAAACAAAAATTGAGATTGAGATTGACCACTCCGATCTAACAAGGGAGTCATCCCAATAAATACCTTCCCATCTCTTTGTTGCACGGTTGACATGCCAACTGGGCTACGTCAAGCCAAGTCTTTGTGGCCGTGGCTTTTGAATTTCCCACTCACATATTTTTGGCAGACTTGTCAAAGAATTGAGATTTAATCTTACAAGATGCCTATTGGAGTAACTTAAACGTACCATCTCATTTTGTCGGTTTGTGTCTGAAGCTACTCAAGTCCAAGGTAATACAACTTTGCTGCGCCTGTCAGACCTTGATTAAGTGTCGATTCAGCCGCATCCAATATCAAGGCAACTGCAAGTCCCAATGGGTTCCAACTGGGAGGAAATATGAGTGGTCAGTCGACAGTCAGAACTGGAAGATAGCCCGAAGTCAAGGTCTACACAACTCCGGTGTGTCTAAGCTTGTGGCATATCACATCGATGCTGATTATGGGGACATAGGGTTATGCATAGTTTCAAGGTTGCTTCTGTGTTTATATCAGGTCCAGGACTTTTCAAGAAAAGGGGGAAAGAAGAGAGTAGTATAGGCATCTCATTGACTGCCCAACAACCTGTCGCATGCGGACATCTTCAATTACAGTGAAGAAGATAGCTGGGGTTTTTTACTCTTTTAGAACTTCTCCCCAACGCCAATGAAAAATCGAATGCTACATAGTATAACAACTACAACTACCGTTGATGACGGTATTATCCTTGAAT